GAGAAACGTGTGTTCAAAAAGTTCTCCATATCGATACCACTCCTTTGGACTGAAACAAAATTAGTACATTTTTCAGTAAAAATTTGTACTGAAAAGGCTCCTTTCAGAACAAATGCTCTGCCCTAATGAATGTTCCTTCTTTCTACTGACATGACTAAGTTCCATTGGTCTGTTCCCAGTGGTCAAGATTTTATGGCCATTTTTAAAAACATCCGATATGAACCCCTGACTTTTATCTTTGGAACTATTTCAAAGATATTGTCTGCTAAACAACCCTAGAAGATCACAGAGTTGCAGGTGATTAGACTGTGTAGTCAAAACAACCTCGGCCCATGTGTTCATGTTTTTCTCCAGAATTGTAAAATCGCAATAACATTGTGACCATTTGGATTAGACCAATGAAACTCCAATGAAACTTAGTATAATGAAAGAACATCGGACAAGGCTTAATTGTGACCTGAAACCCATGCTGAATGACTGAGATATTAACAATTGGTTTTGGTCTCCCTTTTGGCTTACCCTGTTTCAGTGCACATGCATATAACGTGGTCTGTTTACATTAGCCAATTTGCTGTACTTTTACATTAAGAATTAAAACAGGCACATTACTAACCTGATCTGTTTACAGAATGCCACTTTGTTGTATTTTTAGGTAAACGACTCTGGTGATAAAATCTAGTGTTCTGGTAATAGGATTACATAAATAAGAGGAGTACATAAAACCAAAATGCCTCCAAAAAGTAAAAACAAAATGCCTCCAAAAAGTAACAAGGATGAACTGCCAAGTAAGAATAATTCAATGTACAATATGTGTTAATTTGAATGTATTACTTTAATAGATAGAACTGCATTTGAAATTGGGTTTACGGAAAAGACCGACCCCACCGACCACCGACCGGTCGGTGTTTTCCACTGGTAGCCTCAAAACAGGGTTTGAAGAAAATGTGTAAAAGACCGACCATATCATGTAAAAGACCGAACATATCTGTAGCTTTAGAATATTAATAATTTGATTTTGAATGTCAATCGTTGGACTAGGCAACGTTTTTTACCGATTTTGTACCTTGCAACGAATGGCAAGCAAACAAATTGGTCATGACCGTCTCCTCTCGATTAGTTGTCCTGCCTTAGGTCCTAACCTATCATTAACCAACCTATCGTTTCTACGGGAATCTATCCTAATTTTTTACTGAAATTTAACAATTTCGAAACAAAAATGATTTGTTATCGTCATAGCCTACTGAATACTGAACAGGATATAATGTTACATGCGTTCTCTTATCGGGATTAAAAGTGACTTACCATTTCAGTACACCATTAGAAAGCTTTTTTTTGTCATATCAAATGTAGTTTTTACCAGTTGACGTTTAACAACTGAGAAATCAAACATAAGGTTACGACGTCAACATCGACGATGTTTGTGTGTTTTTGTTATTGCGTTTCATATGAATGAAGAATGAACTTAATGCAATGTTACGTGCGTTTTTTTCCAAAGTGACTAACCAGGATGAAATTGGTCTTCTAACAACTGAAACATCACTTAAAAATATGACATTACACACCACGACGATGTAACGTTTTCATCGTGATTTGAAATGATAATTATACGTTTTTAAATCACGACCTAGTAAAGGTACTATAGTCATTGGATTCCCAGTTTTAGTTTTACTTCTAATTTTGCATTTTTTCATCTTTATGTAAAAGACCGTCAGCCGACCACCGACCACATGTACCCAACTGTGGAGAGTGACTGGTCGGTGGTCGGTGGTCGGCGGTCGGTGTTTTACGTAAACCCTTTGAAATTCACTGCATTCTGCATGAGAACCTTTCAAGACTGTCCATTTTTGATGAGCTCTGATAAATGGCAAATCAGAAATACGAATTATGATGAAGTACTAAAGTAAGAACGTTTTTATCTTATATGGTTACTTAAAATACATGTAATATATAGATATAAAATGCTTAAGTGCACATAGCAATAACACATAAATTCTGTAGAAGTGTTGATACTTAGCAACCACGTTACGTTTATCTTACCGTGTGGGGCCATTTTGTCGGCCTAGGCGCGTCCGTCTGTCCGTTCGTCCGTTCATCCGTCCGTCCGTAAATCCGGCAGTTTTCTCCGTAACCGCTACAGATATCACCTTCAAATTTTCAGGGATAACTTATGAGTGCATACAGACGAAATATTTTTAACTCGATACGTTCTTCCTGTCGGCCATTTTGAAGTCAAATGCTAAAATCCTTGTCTGCAAGCTTTAAGAAAAACGGCTTCGCAGTTGCTTTTAAAACTTTAACATCTTGTTAAGCTCATTTCATTCTACATCTAATTAGGTTTTGGACCTGTTAGCTCAGTCATGGCAGCCATTTTGAATGTCTTGAGAAAAGTTAGCGCGCGATAATACTTTGTATCATATTGAATGGTGTTTTTGAGTTTTCATACTTTAACTATAGAAGCTTTATAAATAATTGCAGATGTACTTTATTGTAAAAGCGTATGTTATTGTTAACAGTAGTTATATGTGCTAAATTGTTAAAAAGAAATCAGCAAAAACACATAATCACTTTTTTATTGTCGGCCATTTTGGATTTTTCCTTCCTAAAGTCTTGTCTGTAAGGTCTTGTCTAGGCGTTTTCAGGTGAACCGTTTGGTAGATCAATTTCAAATTTCAGGGATGATTTTTAGTACGAAAATCTAGATCTGATTAGTTTTTTGGCATTCTGGGTAAATGTCAAGGCAGCCATTTTGGATTTTCCGTCCTAAAGTCTTGTCTGTAAAGTCTCGTCTACTCGTTTTCAGGTGAACCGTTTGGTAGATCAATTTCAAATTTTCAGGGATGATTCTTAGTATGAAAGTCTAGAACTGATTAGTTTTTTGGCATTCTGGGTAAATGTGAAGGCAGCCATTTTGGATTTTCCGTCCTAAAATTTTGTCTGTAAAGTCTTGTCTAAGCGTTTTCTAACTGTTTGACGGATCAATTTTAAATTTTCAGGGTTGGTTCTTAGTATGAAAATCTTAAATTGATTCATTTTTGGCATTCTGGGTAAATTTTAAGGTGGCCATTTTGGATTTTCCGTCCTAAAATTGTGTCTGTAAAGTCTAATTGTAGTCCTCATTGAAAGCCCATTATCCTGATAAATTTTAAGTCGGCCACATTGGATTTTTCTCTAAAATCTAGTCTTTTCAACTGATAAATGTTACATTCAGGATCAAAAATTTGCAGTATATAGCATCACCCATTGGTGGGGACATGTTGTACACATTTGTGTTCTTATTGTTATGGTCTCCGTTTTTGTGATGGCGGTTGGTGGTTGACGTCTGTAACAAATCTTAATTATTTTCCGATACTGTTTAGACTGACTTCAATTTTTTTCAAAATCATCTACAAGTTTTCAGAAGTTCAAATCTGACTTAAATTTAAGATTTGACCTTCAAATGACCTTTACATGGTCAAAAAAGGTTAAAAAGGTCAAAAAGGTACTTTTTTCAACTTGCTTCAAATTGATCAAATTTTTTTCAAAACCATCTCCAAGTTCTCAGAACTTCAAGCTGACTTTATATTTGAGATTTGACCTTGTAAAAATTTTCAACTTGCTTCAAATTGAATTGATTAAATTGTTTTATCTACAATTTCTCAGAAGTTCAAATCTGACTATAGATTCGAGATTTGACCTCGAATGACATTTCCGAGATAAAAAAAGTCAAAAAGGTATTTTTCATCTTGCTCAAAATTGACAAGTTTTCCTTTTCAAAATCATCTAAATTGACATGGAACATGACTCGTAGAGTGATCATCGATTTGGCATGTTTTATAATGTTCGACTTCTAGCAAAATCTGGTACATGCAAACATTTAACTTTTGATCACTCTAATATTGTGTGAAACTAGGTGGTGTTGACATTTTTTCATGTTAATGCCTTGTTTATAATTGTTAAACAGAAATATAAACAAAGATCTATTGAATAACCTCATAATACATGTACAGAGTGTCCCAAATGTTCATGCACTCTGTCTGTCAAATGGCGGGGAACATTGATCATATCTTTTTAGCTCATTTGTTTGATTTTTAGATGACATAATTCTGAATTCATAAATTTATAGTAGAGGCTCTATGGCAACAGGTTGTTGATAATGTCATCACACTTCAATTTTCAATTGCTTTATCATTTCAAGACAAATGGAGTCCATTGTGATAAATTGTGTTATGTCACAGGGCCAATCACAGCCTCTAGTCAGTTTCTTCAGCTTTCCCAAAAGTGAAAGTCGAAGCTTGCCCCGCAGGACTGAAAGACTCAATATTCTAGCTGCTGTAACTTTGTTATATATAGACCACGTGTCTTGTAACTTGAATGTCAATAAAAAACTTTATTGTAGAATAATTGAATATCAGCTTTGTGCAGCCTTTCAGTATTATCACTGTCTGACAGATATAGAGTGCATGAACTTTTGGGTTGCCCAATAATGTGTATTTAAATTGCTTAGTGCTCAAATTTCAGATTTGACTTTTCTTAAATCATATGGAAACACTAATTCATTCTACATTTACAATAAATATATGTAACATTTTCCTCTATTTCAGGGCTCTGCCTGGAGAAATGCAGATTGCTAGCGTTCAACTGTGCATTCATGACTATAATTGAGATAATGAAAAAATACTGTACAAAAAAAATTACTGATCTATTTGAACCTATTAAGAATAATAAAAAAGGAATCAAGGCAGCACTTTCAGATAAACAAAAAGTGAATGAAACAATTAACACTGAAGATGACATAACTATGCCGTTCACAGAAGTTATGTTCACAAACAGACTTTTAAGCAAAAGGGGGAAAATAACAACATTTTGTGAAACAACAGACCCAAAAATTTATTTGCAGCTTATACTAATCGTTGCCGTAAAAGAAAGTGAGATTTACGAACGTGCTAAGTTTATATATGATACTCGCAACTCTTGGGCTCATAACAAAATTTCGGAATGGGATGATCGACATTTTGAACTAGGAATGAATAGACTGAAAAAGTTTATAGATATGTTAACTCCAGATAGTAGCAGCCGTACAGAAAAAGAAATGAAAGATGAAATAAAAAAAGAAATTACCAAGTGGTACGAAAATGGTAAGGATTTGCTTTAGTGTCAGTTTTTGTTTTATTTGTATCTTTGCACAATTTTTAGGCATCAGTGATCAGCCAACATTCAGAGATCAGAACACCATGCTAGGAACATTTTATTAAAATAATGACCTATGATAAAGGATTCCCTATGTTCAATCTATTAGTATCCGAAAGATCATTCTGCTTTCTGAAGAGATTATCAATACCAATGGCATAGCTTCATACACGCATAAAACGCCATGGCGTACTCTCAAAAGAATCCGTTATCCCATGTACCTAAAGGTGCCCCCAAAGGTTTCATTGAATGTGACATTGAAATAGAATTACTTTTATAAATTATGAACACATCCAAAACAGAATTAGGTCATACGGATTAAAACTAAGGTCATTAAGTGCATTTAAGTTTGACTATGCAAATCATTCTAAATATCATGTTAGGGGTATGTTAGTCTTCACTCATGACTATTTTAAGTATATTGACCATTCAATCAATCGATATATCAAAATATCATTAAGGTAGGACACTAAGGGCAACATATTGAAAACACAAATCATAAAACAACCCCTAAAATGTAGTACATCTTAATGAATCTTAATCTTGAATCTCAGCAAAAGTATCACCTCAGTTGGTATGCAGAAGGTTTAACCTAGGATATTCAATTTAGAGGATATATTAAACATCATTATCAAAGGTAGGACACAAAGGGCAACATATTGAAAACACAAAACCTAGGTATTCAACTCAAATATTAAAAATCTAGTTGTGACTTTCCAATATATGATATATTTATTTGGCATTTTCAAAGAATAATTCAATTGAAGCTAAAGGTATAACGTCAAATGGTTTTGCTATCAAACAAGTGGAGGTATTTTAATCTATCCATTGTATAACATATAATTATTATGAGGTAAAATATTTTAGTTTGACTTTGTATGAGAACTATCTTACAAGCAGTGTCCCTTTAATGGCTAATTTGATATTGATTCCGTCTTTCAGCAATAAAATTATCATCTTTTGGGACAAGCATCAAAAATAAATTGACCCTTTTGTTTCTTTTGGTGAGAACTACCTTGCAAGCAGTGTCCCTTTAAACAGCTACGTGGATATTGATTTAGTCCCTCAGCAATATATCATCTTCAGGGGTAGGCAATTGAATGAAGAATCAAAAATAGATTGACTCATTAGTTGAGAACTACCTTACAAGCAGTGTCTCTTTAAATTGGTAAATGGATATTGATTCAGTCCCTCAGCAATATATCACATTCAGGGGCAGGGATGACTGATGAATCAAAAGTATATTGATCCTTTGATTCTTTGTTAAAAATAGTTTAGTGTTCATTAGGATGAGAACTATCTTACAAGCAATGTCCCTTTAAATGGATAATGGCTCAGTTCCTCTGCAATATATCATCTTCAGGGGCATGCATGAATGATCGATCAAAGATAGATTGGCCTATTTGTTTCTTTGGGTGAGAACTACCTTACAAGGAGGAATGTCCCTTTAATGGCTAAATGGATTTTAATTCAGTGTCTCTTCAACATATCATCTCAATAGATAGACATGACTGATGAATCAAAAGAAGATTGACCCATTTGATTCTTTGTTTAAAACATTTTAGTGTTCATTAGCATGAGAACTACCTTACAAACAGTGTCCCTTTAATGACTAAATGGATATCAATTCAGTCCCTCTGCAACGTATCCTCTTCAGAAGCATGCATGACTGATAAATCAAAAATAAATTGACCCATTTGATACTTGTCTGATAGTTTGTTGCCTTGGTGTCTGGCAGATCCAATATGGCCTCCTTTTTGAAACTACATTTTTTGCTATACTTTCACATTGTATATCTTCCGCAGCCAGGACCCTCTCTCATTTCATATTTGAACTATGCAATAATGTCAATACTAAACAATAAAGGTGAAATCAGAGGGGGTCTGACCTGCGGAAGCACCTCAATCTCTCAGTGACTGGAGAAGGTCATTCATAGTTAGAAACAAGAACGCAATAGGGTGCCTTTCAAAACAATAGGATTACAAAGTATCTATGCATGGTTGATCTGCTTAGTTAAGGTTATTATGCTCAGACACAATTTAGTTTTATACTGACAAGTCAATTTAAGTGTATTTACAAAATTACTCATTTTAAGAGTCAGAATGACATGTGTTAAGGATCACTGTAAAAAACATCTTTTTACCATATTCTAAAGATTATATTTGTGATTTGTTGAAAATATACTTCTTAAAGATTTATATTATATAAGAATAATCCTGGAATTCCAATTTAACCTTTTCGAAAAATTTCTAAGTCCTTATAGGACACTAATGAGTACGGATCCTTTGATTTTTAGATTGAATTGCCCCACACTTTAATAAAATTGGATAATATACATTTTATTTGTCCATATTAGTCGGAAATTCGGAATCGGAAATTTTAAAACGCCTCAGATCGCTTCAAATGCAATCTCATTTCAAATTTTCTTGAGGGAGAACATCCCCCTCCAAACCCCTAAAAGCTTGTTCGCTTCGCTCACTAATGGCCTACACTAACAAAATACCCACGCTACGCCACTGAATATTAAATAAATAATAAAGTGATACATTGGTCTCTTTGGATTTGTCTCATTATATTTACTGCTGGTTTGAGTTTTATACTATTAATTTACATGACCAGTACAGACTATGGAGAGGTTAAGCTAACGATGTTTTTCACAACGTAACCGTGAACGCAAAGTACAAAAATTAACAAAGGAATGTATCGAGCGCTTATAGTTTTATGCGCGCTTAGTCTACTTCAGATACTCTTTCAGCTTCAGAGTTTCGGGTTTAGAACGGGAGATTTGAAATTTGACGTTGGGTCAACGGGAACCATTTTACTCGTGTCAGTTGAACACTATGCTGTCAATTTTGATTTCAATGCACAGTTGAATTCTTGCTGAACATGATGATGTATGTCATGCATGATTTAGCGCCAAAAATCTTACGAAACGAGCTCGTTTAAAATATGTATTAGAAAACCAGCTATAAAACCGCATCAATGACATACTATAGAATCATTACACGCTATGGTGTAGTCTAAACAAACACTGGATTTGAACGGCTATTTATATGAGAAGGCTACATGAATTTGTATATGGTCGAGTGATACGTACAGGTTCAGTTTCGATTATATATGCAAAGCTTAACCTCTCCAATGTCTTTCAGATACTTGTCAGGGACCTCAAGTCCATCCATGGTCCAAGGGTATTTCTCTTCTTTCCATGAATTCAGTAATAAATGAAGTCATTTGAATGAAGGATCGATGTTCAAGTCATTAACAGAAACTTTGCAAAGTTAAGAATTCTTCAGTAATTGTTGTTGCCACCAATATAAAGACATTATGAACTTCACAAAATGTCTTCAAGTGTTGAGATCTGGGGATTTAGCAGCCTAGTTGGTTTTCAATGGGTAATGATTCTGTTGCTTCGGTATGCAGTTGATCATTGCAAATCTGGAGTTTCTTGAGGTACATGTATTTACAATGGATTGATTCGGGGTCCCTTTTCGCATTTCTGCATGTTGTCTGTTACAGAACTCTCGTTCAGCAAGTGTCAACAATCATGGACATGAATGCAGAATAGCTAATTTTAATGATCAAAATACATAGTTGTTTGAAAATGTTCTCCTTGTTTGGACTTTATAATATTATTTTATTTACAGTGGAGATATTCAGAGATCTCAACAAGGTTAAAGAGACACACATATTGAAAGCTGTTGTTGATACATGGGACACATTAATAAAGGGATCTGTAGGTGACATCGAAGATGTTAAAGTTTTGGTTGAAGATATCCGAGAAAGACTGGAACGTCTGGAAAAACAAGTCGAGGAAAATAAAGAAGGAATCGAAAAAAATAAAGAAGAAAGCCAGGAAACTAGAAAACGACTGGAATGTCTGGAAAACCAAACCGAGGAAATTAGAAAACGACTGGAATGTCTGGAAAAACAATCCGAACAATGTTCCGATAAGACTGCCATACTTGCCTTGCCTCCTGAAACATCTGAACGGGCCAATTATATTTTGGAAGAGGGCCAAAGTTTACCACTACCATCAGGTAAGAGTACAGAATAGTTTGTAAACGTTGAAAAATTGGCAATTTATTTCTCTCCTCGATCCAAATTACCATAAAAGGTTAAAAATACTATTTCAACATTAAAATATCTTAAAAAGACATTAGAAACCATTTTTAGCAACACGATTTCATCGATAACAAGAACGCTATGCACTGCACAAAATTGTTTTCTACACAGGGAAATATGCTGAGTACTAAATAATACAAAACTAGAAGACGGCAACTCCACAGAGTAGCAAATCCCAACTAACTATATAAATCAGTAATATTTACCATATTCTCTTCCATTCAATAAACATTTGAGATCATTGTAGTATCATGTAACCATACTTTAAAGATATCCCTAAGTAATGGCGGACTCCTGCTCTGGGCAACCATTTTGAGGCACAAATCAAAAAAACAATACCATTTTGATCTACTCTAAAATTCCTTCAATTTGAGTACAATGTAGCCATTCTTTAAGAGATCAGAAAATAATAGCGAAATCCCACATTAGGCGGCCATTTTGAATTGAGTCCCGAATCATAAAAATGATACAAATATTTGCAATCTACTCTAAATTGCCTTTCATTTGAGTATAAAGCTTTACTAAAAAACATCTCTAAATTAATGCAAATTCCCGTTTTCCCAACTCCCCCATTTACCACCCCTGGGGGTCAGGGTGAAAAACATGGGATATATGTGAAGTAGATAGGTATTGTGAATATACTACCAACATTTCAAATAATAATATCTATTTCTTTGGTTTAATATGAAGAACATTTTTGAGAAAAATTCCCGTCATTTTAAGGTGGCTGCCATCTTGAATGTCTTTAAATTATTCACCAATATACATATCTCCATAGCCTTGCCCAAGTCGGTCTCTTTTACTTATCTTGATTTCTATTATGACCGCCTTGTACCAAAGAGAAAGCCACGTGCTTTACCGACAGTTTGTTGATGTCGGTAAAATTTGACCAATCAACGACGTAGTTAGCTCATTATTATGCACGGTCAAAAACAAGTACACTTTTCACCGGGACTTTTCACGAACAAATCTTGCACGAATCTGAGCACGAATTCATCATGAAAATACAAATATTTTATCAGATAAATATAAATGAGAGTTTAGTGGATGCCGGGGCATCGATCGGGTAACCAAAGGTGAGAAAATTTGAACAATAAACGTTGAAATGATCGCTGAACATGTAGGCTGAGATTCAATCACCGATCGATCGACGACAACATGACCCGCTACATTGGACTAGGTCTTCGTGCATTTTCATCTCGAAATCAGTTTTAAATCAACATTGAATCGCATGATTTAATATTAATGACTCTTACCTTCCAGTGTACATTTAATTACATAATATAGTAACTCTAAAGAAACACTCGATCAGATCATTGAATTTCAAGTCGAGATGGGAAGTTTGTTTTGTTTATGCAGCTCCGCCTAATAACGTTTTGACCAATAAGGTTTCGCGATACCCCTGATAGCGTAGGTATTATGGAAATCTCGAAACCGTTGAATATTTCAGCACAATAACAGCGGAGATGTATTGGATTGTACAAGGTGGTAATAATTCAAGATCAGATAAGTAAAAAATACCGACTTGAGCAAGGCTAATATCTCCACTAAATATGAAGAAAATCTGTTAACTAGTATTTGAGTTATCTTCCGGATACTCCTGTTGCTGACGGGGTTCCACTGAAAATGTAAATGTTATGGAATTTGACTCTTTCAACCATTAGCATATACCCTAGGCTCCAAGAATATATGAGGTGCTTGTCTCAAGAGTGGTCAGCGAATTTTTAATTAGCTATTATAGTGGTGTCCTCTTTCCATTTTCTGACATAGGGGTGGCTTGACAAAATATTTTTTAAAAGTTCTTTTCACTAGTCTTTCGTGATGATGAATACATATTACCATATATTAATATCTGTAGTATCTTCTGAATATTTTGGGCATTTGAGTGAATACCGGTTTTGAATAATTAACCCTTTGAATACCAAAGGTTGGTTAAAAAGTGGGGTTATACTGCATATCTTTACATCGGATGGGTAAAATAAAAGATTTTGATTCTCTTTTTTAATTTTATTATAAACTTGGTTCAATAAAGGATAAAGTGCCATGGTATTTGTTTTTTCGAAAATCATGATTTTTTCAGAAAAAATATCAAAAATTTGCCATATTTTTTCAGTATTTCACTATATTTCAAAAGCTTATGGCATAAATGATTTTTTTAAATAATTTACAAATAGATAATGTTAATCCAACATACACAGTTATATAATGTGCTAATCTAAGTAAATGTTATGCTTTTCTCAATTGGATATATATTGATTTAGAGGTATTAACCCTTTAAACACTAATATTACTCGAAATATTTTCATGTATTATTCTATTCAAACAATAGTATTCTATTGTAAATATCCAATGTTCATTTATCTTCATTTACAAAGTTGGAAATGACACATACATATATTTGATATGTTTCTAGACTACTGATTAAGTATTTCTATACTATTTTAACCCTTAGGGCACCAATACTGATAAAATATTTTCTTGCATTATTCTAGCTATTCAAACAATTGTATTCAGTTGTAAAAATCCAATGTTCATTTATCTTCATTTACAATGTTGCACATATAGATTTTATCATTTCTAGATCACTGATTATTTGTTTCTTTAATATTTCAACCCTTCGAGCACTAATACGGATAAAATTGTTTTCATGTGATATTTTATTGAAACAATTGTATTCAATTGTAAACATCCAATGTTCATTAAGCTTCATTTACATTGTTGTATATATACATTTTATAATTTCTAGACAACGGATCCTATGCTTTTGTACTAACCCTTTGTTTTAACCCTTTGAACACTAATGCAGATAAAAACATTTTCATGTGTTATTCTATTTTTTTTTTTTTTTTTTTTTTTTTTTAAGGTTAGTTTATTTCATTTTAACACATTTATAATACAATAGTCATAGGTACAAAAAAGATACAATACAATGTGTATGAAATGCAAGCCGAGGTCTGATGACATTTTTGGCTTGTTAATGAAACAGAAAAAGAAAATAAGTTACTCTCAACATGTGCTTTCAGTAGAAGGCCTTCTATTGAAAGCCCATGCTCCCAGTTATGGTGGAAGATAGATGATGAGAATGAGATGAGATGATGAATAATGATCAGATTCAAGTAGTACATAAAAATTCAATTCCTAAATTATTTTATCAATAAATGTTGCAGTTAGCTTCATAATAATACAATTTTGATCTCTTGTAAGGTTTGTATCACCAAATAAAATCATATTGAGTTTGTCAATACTACTTTTACCTGAAAAGTTAAAGGAGTTTCGGTCAGCCATTGATAAACTTTCGATGTAATTTTGCCTTGCTTCAAGTGTAAGAGGGCAATGCAAGAGGAAATGGACCTTTGTCTGATTATTAAACCCACACTGACATTTTGGATCTGAAACGTTTTCGAAATTGTGTCTGTAGAAATCTGACCTTAGCGATAGGTCACACCTCATTCTATTAAGTTTGATTTCTAATGGTCTCTTTAAGTTAAGTTTGGAAATTTTAACAGCTGTATTAATGTTAGAGCTGCAATGATGGGTTGTATATCTCCTACGAAACTGAGATTTAGACTGACTGTTTCTATTCAAACAATTATATTCAGTTGTAAACATCCAATGTCTATTTATCTTCATTTACAATGTTGCACATATACATTTTATAATTTCTAGACTATATTGGGTGTGAACCAAATTAAGTATGACAGTTGAACGCACAGGGCAGGGTTGAACATGAGGCTGTTAAAATTTGAGCAAACTGATGTTTTCATAATTTCAGTAAGATCTGGTCTAGTTTCTAGATATTTTTATATGTAATTGTCTGTAACAACATCCTAGACAACTTTACAGTGAATTACATGGTCAAACCAACACAAACTCCAAATGTAGTATATGGTGAAATGTGCGTGTACATTTACCTGATATATTGTACAATGCAAATTCAAGTTGTTTTGTTTTGTACCTTACCATAACCGGACATTTGTGAAGGTTGAACTATAAAATTCACAGTCAAGCTCACTGTCTAGGATGTTATGACAGACATTTACATGTAGAAATATTAAGAAACTAGATCAGATCTTTCTGAAACTATGAAAACATCAATTTGCTCAAATTCCATCACCCTTGTGTTTTACCATCATTCATCATATGAGTACTCATTTAGTACTAAAATGCAGTAAATCGGCACTCATGTCATTAGTGCTTATTTAGTACTAATGTTTGATGAAATGAGTACTCAATTAGCGCTAGAATGCCATGAGTACTATTTAAGTACTCAGTATATTGTTATTTCCTATGATACGATTGATATACTTTTACTCAACTATGAAATTAATCAGCCTATCGGTTTCATACGTTTCTCTATATCTAAAAATGACTTTGGGTGCGTTTGTTACGCGGAGTATGGCATACATTCATGGTTGCGCAGTATTTGCGATACGGGTGAATATGCAGGTGAATATGACATATACCGCGGGTGCAAACGTGATACAGAAAGCCTTGATTTGATTGGTTGCGAGAATCGACTCTAAATGTAAAACTATGCTGGATTACGAATAACGTTAGTGCGTAGAGTATTTATATATGGATCCTGGACTGATTGAGTAAGTTCATTACGTGAGATTGGTGAGTGATATCTCTGCATAAGTTGATATATTCGATACACTGTACTGCTGTTTCTATAATAATTTATAAACTTTCACTCGTTCGTTCAATTGATGCAATTTACAATTGCATACTTCCGTATCACGTTATCATTGGTAAGTGTGTATGCCATATACCGCAGGTGAATCTGTCATACACCGCAAGTGAATATGCCATATTCGTTGCGGAATTAGTATCTAACCTTATAACCTTTTTAATTGGCAGTGAAATGTGGTGATAATACTAGTATTATGTAAAGATGTCAGCTATGGGAATACATATCCTCAAATAATCAGTCATAAAATAGTTGCCCAGAAGAATTGTTTTTATTAATCATATCTGGAATCATGGGCCTTCAAGAAAGGTTAGAAAGCCCAAAAATCTCTGAGAGAAATATTATGAACACAAAATCTTAATACTTGCATGTATATTTCAGATAATACAAATGCAGGAGATCATGCATTGAGAGAGCTTACACGTGATGCAATGGACCATGTAGCTAAAGGTGATCTCCTTTTGAGTAGATATAAAAAGCAGGTTTATGAAATGGCACTAAGAATTGCAGCCCAGAAAAAGGAGCTGAAAGAAAAGGATATTACGATTAAAGAACTGAGAGATGATATAAGAACCTTAAAAGAGGAGAAGAGAAGTGTAGAGAGTGACAATGACAAGTTGAAACAAATATTGGATGATAAAATAAAAGTTTTACGCAATGTAGAGCAAGAACGTGATACTTTATCAGTTAAATATAAAAAGCTGCTCAAAGACTACAATGATATGCAGGTAAAATTAGAGACAGAAAAGACATTTCTTCTAAACTCATCGATGGACATGGTAAAAAGGCTCAAAATCTCAATCCAACAATCAAAATGGTAAAAATATCATTCTTGCTAAACTAAATTCAATCAAATTACTTAACAGTTATTAAAAAGTTATGATACCATCGATCCATCCTCAAATGAAAAAAAGTCAAAGGTACAAAGATGCATCAAAAAACTAATGGTCAATGAAAAATAAAGTTTAATCTATTTCCATATTTTGCAGTAAACACAGTTGGGGAGAAATTTTGATTCCATATAATTTGATAATAATTGATAAGTGAAAGATTGTGTAGAATGTGCTTTTTGATGATGAAATATGTTTAGAAATCTGCTTTTAAAGAACCGAGAGGTATATACTTTCAAGATTGCTTTAAATAGATATATCCACAACTTTCAATTTATACACAATGACGTAATGTATTATATATATTGATGAATTCTGCTTTTAAACTCCAATGACAAAATCGATGCCCATATCGATTGAAGACAATCAAGATTTGCTTCCCATAATACATCACATGTATATTTAAAATATATCATATGTATGTCATTCGTATGTATTGAACCATTTGTTAAAGAATTAAGCTCGCGAGGCCCAATGATTTGTGATGATTTTAGCACAAAGTGTGAGACTTTGATAAGTACATAAGCTAGTTTGAGCATACAAGATACATTACAAGTGCATGGAATTCTATATATACGAGTAAGTAATCCACAGTAAATTGGGTCATCAGCTTAAATTCTTTTCCTACTTAGCTAAAGATTTTGTACAATATCAATGAAAACAATGAAATTCAAACAGACACATTTTGCAAGTTCTACATTTTGACTTGCAGAAGGCTATCTGCTTGACTAAACATTGTGTTCTTAAATGTAGAATTTGCCTATTTGCCCCGGGTCCTTGATTTCAAATTACTATGGCAACCATTTCTTATTTAATGTTTCTGTATTCTAAATATTTTGCTGGATTAATAAAACATTCTCCATGCTGCACATTCTGTGAAAATTTCATAGGAAAATGATGAAAAATAAAGAAATTAGAGAGATATTATGAGAACTTTATGATCAACCCTCGTATATATTACACTCCCCTCCATAAGTTTGGCAACCTTTTTTCCCCATTGAACTACGTGTTAAAGCCTCTCTACGTTTGGATTTTTTATTTACTTAACCGGCGATGAAATAACTTATAATATTGATGGAAACGTAACTTGACTTTATTTCCAATACCTCCAAATTTTCTCAATTTTTTTCCTCAATTACAATAGGTCGAAAATTGATGATAAATTTGATGAATTTTTGAAAATCGACATTCCCATGTAATCCAATGGGAAATGGAGGGTTCTGGGCAAATCAGAAATCAGGATATCTTTTCAGTAAAAGATTCAGCAAAAAATATTTTTATATAGAAAATTGAATTGTCTAACTTTTATGAACACTAAGTGTTTAGTTTATTTCATGAATATTAAAGTTACAGCGCTTCAAAGTCATTTTTGAAAATAATTTTTCGCCTCCTGTGTTATTTCAATGGGAGAGGTTTTTTGAAAAACAATTTTGACATTAAAGCCTTTTAACTTTGTTGAACCTGAAGAAACATATCAATTTTTTGTTAAATAAAGTTAGCAAATTCAATTGCCTGCCTAACTCGTATTTTTTGCAAGGACTCGGATGGATGGATATTCTGTCATATGACTTGCGGCAAACCTGCCATTTCCCATTGGTTAACATGGGAATGTCGATTTTCAAAAATTCATCAAATTTATCATCAATTTTCGACCTATTGTAATTTAGGAAAAAAATTGAGAAAATTTGGAGGTATTGGAATTAAAGTCAAATTACGTTTCCATCAATAGTAGAAGTATTTTCATCGCAGGTTAAGTAAATAAAAATTCAAAGGTAAAGAGGCTTTAACACGTAGTTCAATGGAGAAAAAAGGTTGCCAAACTTATGGAGGGGAGTGTATGTTGCATTGTATTACGTATTGAATTGTATTGTATAATTTTATATTAAATTGTATTTTATTTAAATTATATTATACGTATTGTATTATACAGGGTGAGCCAAAAAATGTAACCCAAACAAATGTGAAGAACTCAGTCATCAAAATGCTGGTCTCATCTCTAGAGGCTAATTTGAAATAGCAGCAGCAGATGCTCACTGACACAGATATCATGTGTAATGAGTGGGGTTCGTCCCGTCCTTTTAGGCGAGTAGGCCAAGCTTCAGAAGTCCATAAATAAAGGAGTTTAATAGTCGGCTGACCCTATGGGATATTTTGGTATCGTTGAAAAGCTGAGATATTGACCTGTAATATGTGATAGATACCTACTTTGAAAACAGGTGACGTTACCATGGAAACGGGCATTGAACAATAGTTATACTTAATAAGAACTAAATACCCATTTCAGGTTTATGTGCACCAAATGATAAAAATATTCTCCTTTTTAATGCGTAAATGGTGAGAATTCAATAGAGATTGGTAAATCTTGAACATTTGTGACTAAATTTTTAGTATAAAACAGTTCTAATTTACATTGTGACTTCACAATTGTGAAATTCAAATAGAAAATGTTTATTTCATTTGGTCTCCTTTAATCCAATTCATCGTGTAATTATAATTTAGTTAAAATATCACCTTCATGTAAATCGAATGAAAGCTGCTTTTCTTACAAATACGTTGGTATACGAAACAAAAGGATTGGACAATCACCCACTGAGATATAGCATATTTTGCTCTGATGAAGCAATGGCCAGAACTACTGAAATCTACTATGATTGCACAGGTTTAGCACACAGTTTGTGAATTTCAATACCAAAACACATTTTAATTGTCTTATAACTTTAAATATCTGTGGCCCTTTGGATTAGTTTTGGTCTCATTTCAATAAAGAGGTATATATCCAAAATGTGTGATATTGACTCATTTGAAAAGCATGTATTGTTACCATGGAAACAGGTGTTGAATAGGAGATTTCATTATTAAGAATAATGCATTTATATTCATTATTAGTTGGTGATCTAGTGAAATACTGTAAATACAAATGAAGTGATCCTATGTGGATCCTATGGATAAAATTGGTATGTTCGAACAGTTACAGATTTGGATTATAACTGAAATGGGGTTTGTTGCTATGGAAACGCTTGTCAAACAATATATGTCCTTGATATGAGTAAAATATATAAAACAATTTGTTCGCATAGTTAACATTATGAATGTGTATTCTTTCAGTGCCTAATGTGAGGATATTGGTGGATTTGATTTATATTGACCATTAGTGGCTAATTAAGTTCAGTTAATTGAAGCGTACAATGTATAAGCTATGTGATGTCACAATGGTGAATTTTGATTAAGATAATTGAAAATCAAAATTAATTACCGCAATTCATTGTGAAATTTCAATTTTATTGGAATGTGACCGTGTTACATATCATATTAAAGCTACTGGTCTATTGATTTCAGTGATATATAAAAGTAATATGATCAGTTTGATATATGTGGATATAACCCTTATTATCCCAAGGAACGAAGTTCTGTAGGGATATAGTGAAGCCCTCCGTCCGCCCGTCCGTCAGTCTGTCAGTCCGTCAGTCCGTCCGTCCGTCCGTCCGTCCGTCCGTCCGTCCGTCTGTCCGGAAGATAACTCGAATACTAGTTGACAGATTTTTTTCATACTTTTTTTTCAAGATGGCCGCCAGTTTAAAAATGTCGGGAATTTTTCGCAAAAATCTTATGTTTTTCATTTTAAGCCAAAATAATAAATATTATTATTTGAAATTTTTGTATTATATTAACAACATCTATCTTTTTCACATATATCCAGGGTTTTTCACCCTGACCCCCAGGGGCCGTAAATGGGGGATCAGGAAAACAGGAATTTGCGTTAATTTTGAGATGTTTTTGAAGTATAGCTTTATTATACTCAAATGAAAGGCAATTTAGAGTAGATTGCAGATATTGTAACATTTTTTCTGATTCGGGCCTCAAAAAATTCAAAATGGCCACCTAATGCGGGATTTCGCAATTGTTTTCTGATCTCTTAAAAGTATGGCTATATTATACTCAAATTGAAGGAATTTCAGAGTAGATCACAATTATGGCATTGTTTTTCCGATTTGCGCCTCTGAAAATTCAAAATGGCTGACTAAAGCAGAAATTCGCCATTACTTAGGGTTATCTTGAAAGTATGGTTACATGATATTACAATGATTTAAAATATTTATTGAAGGTAAGAGTAGATGGTAAATATTCCATTGTGACTGTACAGATTGATGATTTATATAATAATGTTCGTTGGGATTTGCTACTCCGTGGAGTTGCCATTTTCTAGTTTCTTTCTGGTGTATCAGTACTGGCTACAATGGCTAAATTGACCTGTTTTGGCACAAACAGATTCATGAACAAAATGCTTGTTTATTTAAACTATTGATAAGAATGTGCAGAAAACTATTATTTGAATATTCTCTGCATGTAGATGAAATGAAAGCTTATAACAGGATCTTAAGAGGTTCTGGACAAATCATTTGATTCTGGACTTGACATATTTTTTTTCCAACGAAATCACATCCAAGGGTTGAATTTCTATTGGATATTTAGAGAGCGAGTCCTGTATTGATTTCAATAAAAAGGTTAAAATAGAACGCTATTTGAGAGTTAATCTTATACTTTCATTACATTGATAAATTAAGGCAAATTCTGAAAAATTTTAAAGTGCATTTTTTATGAAATATTATCCAAGTATTTAGATGAAACGGTCTTATTTAAATACAAATCATAACATGATGATATTTTTTCATAAAATATTTCTTCAAGAAATTCAATTGAAGGCTCAAGATAAAACGAGCTAATTTAGGTGAAAACCCTTACATGATGATGTGTTTTCATGACTTCTTTCATAAAATTCCATCAAGGGGTGAAAATAAAATGATCGAATTTAAGTGATTTAAGGATCACGAGGATAGGTTTTCTTGGATATTTTCTATGAAATTCCCATCCAGTGGTCAAGGTAAAATTTTTATTTGGTATATTTGGTCACGTGTTGGAACCCATAGAACCATATAGGAACGTCATTTTGAATGTTACGTGATAAATCCATATAAGGCTTTTAGAACAATGTGGGGAAAGATGAGGGGAACCCCTGACACCTGTTCACGATTTTATCCGAACGTTCATCGGATCATTTCGGTTTTTATGCACTTCATTATTTTACCGAAGTTTGCCGATTCGATTCGTCGTATTTCGGAATATTGGGGACAATTTTATACTCCATTGGGAGTATTTTTAATCTACTTCTTATTACGAAGATTCCCGAACCTTGTTCGGATTAATCCGGATTTTCTGACCTACTTCATCTACCGAGGTTTAACGAGTTTACATTCGGCTCATTTCGGAATCCTGGTGACAATTTTATACTCCATTGGAGTATTTTTGATCTACTTCTCTGGATTTTTGATCTACTTCTTATGACGAAGATTCCCGAATCAGTTCGGATTAATCCGGATTTTCTGACCTACTTTATCTACCGAGATTTAACGAGTTAACATTCGTCTCATTTCGGAATCCTGGTGACAATTTTATACTCCATTGGAGTATTTTTGATCTACTTTTTCTGGATTTTGCCCTACTTATTATAAGTTGACAGCAAGCAAATCAAAAAGTTCGCCATGAACGGGTTTCGATCGACTAACCTAGAGGGTGGAAGCTAAACACGCTAGCCATGAGGCTAACGTTCACCTGTGTGAGATGATAAAAGTATCATATATTTATACCGAGCGTCAATTTAGAATGATCTTCGCTTTTGACTCCACTTAGATACAACTCGTCAGTTGTATCCAGAATAGGTGAACGCCTATGGTGTTAGTGAATAACCAAATCCCAGGCGAGTGGTTCGTATCCCACCGTGATATGTTATTTTTGCTTTATTAATACGACAGAAAGGAGCAAGGTGTAGGTTTGAAAACAAGACGTACGTTTATTTCAATACAGTTTTAGAAACATTAACCTCTGATAATTGAAGGATTTCCACTTCTGAAGCGCGACTAGATCTAAGAAGTTCATTAATCAAGACAGTGTAAACCTTTTAGAT